CCCAACTGGAGCGGTCGTGGCGACCGCCGCTGGACGGGGTGAGGGGCGTTGGAGAGCAGCAAATGCCAGGCTGAAATCTGCACGCGCGCGCGCACACACACACACGCGCGCGGCCACGTCCGTGCCCGCGCGCCGCCTTCTCCAGTTGGCCCAAACTTTTCTTGCTCCTGGCTTAAGGGGTGCTTGGGAGGGTGCCGCGCCCTCCCTCTCTGGCTGGCTTTCCTTGGGATTTAACGGAAGGGGGTGGAGACCCCGCGGTCATCAGGCGGGCAAGGGCTAGCCCCGGTCACCCCACTGGCGAGGATGGCCCGAATTTTCTTCTTCTGGGGCAAAAAGTATCGCAAGGAAATTTTGGGTTAAAAAGGGTGAGAATGAGTAAAAGTGCAGAATGCTTCCATGGAGCAGCACTAAGTCTACAGTGCCCTCATTGAGGAAGTCTGGCTTTTAGGCACCTCTCGTGGTAATCCATGGTTTGTTTAACTGGGTTTGCTGAATACACCACCATTTAGATAGCATGCTAACCCTAAGAGAGTTTGCAGATCAGTCTGTAGGCTGGCTCCAAATCAAGCACAAGTATCAGGTGGGGTGATTTGCAAATACCATTTGTGCATCAGTGTGGTCTGACTGGCCTTTTTGTCTTCCTATCTGAAATATGTGAATTGGCTCACTTACTTGAGCTGCCTAGGCTAGCTTTCCACCAGAGAACTTTGCAATGGCAGCTGGGATCTTCTTAATGGCTGCCCTATATAGATATTTCTGTACTGCGGAGGAAACTAGCTGGGGGGTGGGAGGAAATTGATATATACATGCCAAAATAATAAATAAACATAGCAATGGTTTCTGTTCATAATGTTTCACATTCAGTTCCTGCTTCCTCTGGTTCAACAGGAGTCGGGAAAACTATCTTCCTCTTTGATAGATTTTTATCCTCTTTTCTCCGAAAGCTCGAGATTGCCTTTTGTATCGCCACAACATCCTTGTGAGGTAGGCTGAACTGAAGGAGAATGTGAGTTGCCCCAAACCACCCAATTTCCATGACTGAAAATGGATCTGAACTTGGATCTTCCTATTTTATTCCAAGATCCCAGATCAGCTTTCCCCAACTGGTACCCCTGTTGGACCAACTCCCATAATCCCTAGCCAACATGACATTCTAAGTGCTCCCGGAATCCCTAGTCAGCACGGCATTCTGGGAGTTGAAGTCCAGCATCTGGGAGATGGCAGAGGATTGGAGAAGAACTGCTGTTATTCTCACCATTGGGCTAACCCAACCAAGGCTCTGAGCATTGCAGACAAGTTTCCTTGGTGTGGGTTTATTTCCTTTACTCCCTTTGGATAGCATTTTTATTCTGAATTTGGACAGAAAAACCTAATATCTCTTTTGCGATAGAAGAATGCAATAGAAGATGATCTTGGTGGTCCCTTTCAACTCCACCATTCAATGATTCTAAGATTTTCCATAATGAATTTAAAAAAAAGACATAGGTGAGTTTGCAGATTGTTATTTTAGACTTTATTCTAGCAAGCTAACTTTCCACTCCGTCATCTAGGTTGCAGTCGCATGTTCATTAATCTAAAAGTAAATCCAGCTGCCCTTGATAGGGTGGAAAGACGAATCCTAATTGGGAACTGCAGCATCACGCTTTCGGGAATCTGCAAAAGAACGTCGAATGGTAATAATCAGATTCATCTGGTTTTCCTTCCAGCTTCTATCCTAACTTTTATTCAAGGCACCGTACAGAGTGCTCTCTCTTCCTGTTTTTCCCCACAACAACCTTGTGAGGTGGCTAGATTGAAAATGAGTGGCCCAAAGTCCCCCCACGAGCATCCGTGCCTGAGGGGGGAAGTGAACCAGGGTCTTCCCTGTCCTAATCCAACCCCTCAATTGTTAACACCACACTGGCAGGACTGAAAATATCTACCCCCTTTTAAAAGAAAATGTTAAATACGCCCTCAAGTCAAGATCAGTCTTGCTGACTGCGTTTTGGCAGTGTTGCAGAAGTAGCTTCTCGTTGACTTCTTCCAAGATCTCTTTTCACATCCCACACCTCTGGATTCCCAGGCACCCCCATTCAGTTGCTAACCAGACCCAATCCTGCTTCACTTCCAAGCTCTAAACCAGTCCCCAAAGCTTCTACCCGCTTGCTCCAATTACATCCTCGCATCACCATTGCATCATCCCCTGTGTCTTTTGCAGCCCTCAGAGGCCAAAAATAATAGGGCAAATTCCCTGTTCCAAAAAGAAAGTTGCCCACTCCTTGGAGTGGAGGGTGAGAGGCAGGATGAGGTCTGTAGATCTGACACACCTAATGGGGTCCCTCTCTGTGATTGTAGGAGTCCAGCACAAATGCCACCCAGTCTTTCTGGGACTCTGAATTGGGGCTGCTGCGTGTGATAATCAAGGAGGAAGATGACAGTGGAGAGGCCAGCCCATCAGGTAAAGAGGAATATGGCTTTTTTAGGGGGGGCGGTTCTTGAACGCCCTGAAATTCCTTTCTGGGCTAGGCTCAGCTACAGCTCCTTGGGGGTTCAGCAGCCCATTTCCCCGATATCAGAATAGTGTCCGGTGTGAATTCTTAGCAGCTGGGACGTTCGTTCTGTGACATCACAGCAGCTCAGCCGATGTCTGAGGCTAACTTGCAGATTCAGGAAAGAAGGGGGCAGATTTGTAGCCCAGGAAAAGTAGGTATTCAATGTATAGCTTGTCTTTTTTTCTGAGACCTCGAAGAGACGGTCGCCCAAATGTTCTTCCTGTAATAACAACAAACCTGCGAGGTCAGCTGAGCTGTGACAAAAAGGACTGGCCCAAGAGCCGCTGTGGGGAAGCAGAGATTTGAATGTGGATTTTTCGAGGCCAAGACTAACACCTGAACAGCTGAATGAATATAGCCTTAGATCAGTGTTTCTCAACCTTGGGAACTTTAAGAGGTGTGGACTTCAACTCCCAGAATTCCCTAG